GCGTTTCTACGTTTATGGCAGAGATGCTCGAGACCACAGCGATTCTCAGAAAGGCCAACAGGTGCGTTGACCGAGGGAGGCAGGGGGGATGTGCTCATCGTCGTACATGGCCGTAGTCTTGAGGGCCATGAGCCTCCATCCCAAAACTCGAGACCATGATGGACCAAATCTACGTGTGGTTTTCGCCGTCCAGGTGGAGTCGATCTGCGGCGGGTGCGCGTGCCAGGTTCTCGCTTCCCTTGCTCACAGACTCTTGCGTTGAAGTCATAACTAGCGTTGCCTTGCGACCCCGTCTCGCCGCTCGACAATTCATACCCAGGCAATCGCTGGTAATTGTGGACGAGCTGGGAAGAGGGACGTCGACGTGCGACGGCTTCGGCATTGCTTGGGCGGTTGCTGACAGGCTTATCTCGTCCGGTGAGCACAGGAGGAACAAGCGACGGCACAGCTTCTCAATTGCAGGGTCGTAGCCGTCTGTAGTTGACGAACCACCTTGTCAGAGCGTCCGGCACCGTACGACCCGCCCAAGCGTTGGTCTTGGTGACGCTGAATTTGCCCGCACGGACCCCGTTCGTTTCCTGCCATGGCGCTTGGCCCTACCATCCGCCCCCTTGCTGATCACGTTACATCACAGGCGCCCTCTGTCTATTCGCAACCCATTTCCACGAATTGACGGCGATTGAGCAAGAGAAAGGTGGCAAGGGGGTTCAAAACTTGCACGTGACAGCCGAAGCAGACACGGCATCCAACAAGCTCACCATGCTTTATAAGGTACGTTTCGCTGGTTCTTTTGAAGACTCAGGGGATCTTTCGAATAGTCAAAAGAGACAATACGCAGTTTTGTCACGCGGGTCCAAGCTGACCCAAGCAGAACACATGATCCCATGTTGCAGGTGACGCAAGGGTCGTGCGACCGAAGCTTTGGAATCCACGTCGCACGCATAGCGAATTTTCCTGGACACGTGGTATCTGAGGCAGAGACTTTGGCACAGTGCCTCGAGAACGGTGAGCCGCTTGTCAGAAGGGCGAACTCCTCGGACAATGGAGGGCCAGGAGTCGGCGGTGAAGGAGAATTAACGCCCAACGGGTCCAAGAGGAAGAGGTCATGTTGAGAGTGCGCTTCGCGCAAACCAAACTTTTGGTGGCGTTGTATTTATGAGTCTACAATGGATGGTAACCTTGTAAACCACTGTACGAGTAGGTTGATTCTCACCTTTGTATGTTTTTTCCCATAGCTCGTAATATCCTAATAATGTATGTTCAACTCTGCCGTTCCCGGCGGGATAGACCCTGGAGGGATTCGAACACAGGTTACAACATACCCAGAGAGATTCGCACCCTCGTAACCGAGGGGGGGGGGTAGTTGCAAGACAACGCCTTGTCAGTGAAGATGTCTTGGTCTTGGTCTTGGTCCGTTGAAAGCAGGAACTTATTCGTCTCTTCATGTCGTCTCTTGTGGATCATGAGCACCTCAACCCCCGCGGGTGCAGTCCCTCGCCTCCTCATCTTTGAATTGGCACACGGCGGGATATCAAAAGCCTTCAGCGATGACTGAGATTCTGATAGAAAACAACACGCACATGCCGAGAGAAGCACGACAAGGGACGGGCGGTGGAAATAGACGAGGTCAACGGCCGCGTATTTTCAAGAAAGCGGCTACGCCCGACCCCCGTACTGTACGATGAATGAAAGAGGGCGGGCACACCCAAAAAACACCTGAGAGTCGCTCAGTGCATGTCCTCAAATTGGACCGCTACGCCTCCAGTACGATACGGCTGGCAACTGCTAACGAAGGCGAAATGCCGCAGAGTAGGTGGATGTTCGAAAGTGAAGCCATGCCGCAGGTTTCAGCAGCAAGGTTAACAAGGCACTGGCGGTGGCCAGAGGTCAGGTTGAGCGGATGTCGCACGCCGAACTGAGCAGCTAATCCCGCATCTCGGACGTTAATCCAACTAACACGGCGGGCTGGAAGCACAGACAAACGACGAGTTCAAGGTCGATCAATCCCGTCTCCCCAACCTCCCCACCTCAATCTTCACAGGTTGTGATCGGTGTCCAAACTTCCCTTCTGCTCCCCAGTGCACTCTAGAAAGGGATTTTTAGTCAGCACCTCCAGGCTGTTGATCTAATCAACACCCCTCAGGTTGCTGATTGTCTACCGAAAAACGCCCCTGGCGGTTACATGAACCGACGCCGACACTCGTGCCGATATCATTTTTACGAGGCATAGGCCAATAATACAAAGACACAGGAACTCGAAGCCGAGCGCCTAACCCATGCATCACCAGGAGCAGCACAAACAACGTGACCCAGGCAAGCCCCGGCACGAACGCGACCAAGAGTCATGAGTCATGAGTCAAAGCCACACGACCGAGGAAAGCCCCAAGTAATCACGCTGAAGGCGGAGGAGCTTGCTTGAGAAAAAAAAAGGCGTGTGGCGCGCAAACTTGACGTTAGATTGACAAGGGCGCGCGCTCGCGGTCACCGCCTTACCCCTTTTAGAAAACACTCCCTAATTAAGTCTCTACAACCAATTGAACCGCCCCAAGATCACCATGAAACAGGATCTTCCATCGCCGGATTTGGTGTTCGTCTTAGATCTGGCGTGAACGTAAGCAACGACTCAACCGCATACCGCGGGGCTTTAGATTCAACGGCGAAACAAAACTCGTCTGGATTTACTTCAAACGGTAGACGAAGCGTAGAAACCAGTCGAGCTGCTGTCGGGAGGCACTGACTGGCCCTGGAGTTGAAAGCTAGACATCGTCACACTGCGCGACGGCGTCCGCATTTCCACCCGCATGAATCAGACAAACTGAACAGACGAGTGCATCCCAGTGCGCACAACCCGGCAGTTTGCTACTTCAAACACATGACATGCGTACTTCTCTGCAACGAACGCCCTTTGACTTCTTGCGAGGTTCCAATAGCTTAAGCTCTCAACGACCAACTGCTGTCTGTCGTGCGTCACAAACAAAAAACAGACTGACCGTATACGACATTCTTAAAACAAGATCGGTTCTTACCAGCTGCATCGAGTTGCTGCGTTCGGACACGCGATGCCTACTCGTCGTAATGACCACACTTGCCTCTAGGCTTATCGTTTCCAACGTATTAAATTCGTCAATTGTGAACCCCGTACGTCCTCTACAATCTTGGCCCACTCTGTGAAAGTAGAAGGTGAAACAGGGGAGGTGATAAACCCCTTGATCACGTGAACCCGGCGATGAACGCCGACAGCACCCTCATCGACAACTGCGAGAGAGTGTTGCCGTGTCATGAACACAAGTTTCATTCATCCCCATCGCCTGGCACAAACGAAAAAATGCCAACAAGTCGGGAACGTTGTTGTTTGCATCAAAGAATCTTAAGGGGTGGTTCCTGCGCACTCAGAGGACAATGTTTTGCGTGTGTGTATTCCCTCCTGTGTCATCCTGTATGTGACCAGGGACCACCGCTGCATGCTGTGACATCACCGGGTGATTGTAGCATGACCCCCGATTGTAGCATGACCTCCGTGATGACATGCGGCCAAACCTCGGGGTGTGCGATATCTTTTTGTGTAACCCGGGTGGTCTTTCGGGTCAGTGTTTGAGATTCGAAACCATTGGCGCTGGGTGTTGTAATATGTGGGGGGTCTTATCTTATAGGTGGATGTGTTATCTTGTGTCGAATACGGTAGTCGACAAGCTCCACCGACTGGGAACAGTGAATTCTCGCGGATCGTTGCCCGCTTTGAGAATCGTTTCGTGTGTGGAACTGTTGCGTCCTTGAGCTGCCTCGTGAGGTCAAACATCAGTTGGGGTCACGCAGATGTGCTTCATAAGCCGGTAGACTTACGCTACAAAGAGAACGTGGCCGCGACAAACTCGGCAAATCACTGCTGCTGTCGCCTCTTGCGTTCACTCATGAAGACATGAACATGTGCCAGAACAAACGCGACAACGGAACGCAAGCAAGAAATGACCGAGGAAATATTTTGTTTTCCCAGAACAAAAACCCCAGGTTAGCTTGCACCTCGTCTGGGATTGTCGTGCCTTCTACTGCTACATACCGCGAGACGGTTGCGTAACCTTAGCATCTAAGCACCATTTACCCAACTCCAGAACCGCCCCTCGGGGCTAGACAATGAACACTCGCTTGACTGAGTTGAAGACTAGACGCTCCTAAATAGCTTTCCCTTTCGTGTTCTACCCGTCCACAGATACCCTCGCCTGTCCATGCCACAATGCGGCAGCAAACAAAACATGCCCAGAATTGTTGCAAGGCCTTGTGGGTAGCCACCACGACCAAGCAAAAATGATGCGTTCCGCTCGCCGGTCCCGGGGGTAGGAGCACCAGCGCGAGCACTGCCGGGAAATCAGGATTCGTGGATAGCGATAGATCCGCGCTTGAGGGGCCGGCTTCCTCTTGGAACAAAACAAAAAACAGCGACAAGAGACACGGTCGGATTTACATGTGGTTCCCGATAGCTATAAAATCACATGTCTAGCCCTACCAGGATTTCTGTTGTGATAGGCCAACCAGGACTTCATTTGTTGGGGGCCGTAGAATTCTTCCTAGCCTTGCCGCACGACTCTTGCATACCAACATATATCTGCAAGAGGAAACTCTACAATGCTGTTGCGGTGGTGGTAGAGGGCAGCTAGAAGTCAGTTTGAGGGTCGCAAATTTGAATTTCCCGGTTTGTCTGTGCGACATAGTAGACACGAAAGAAGCAGGCAGAAAGGCTAAACCAACACCAAATTCGTGCCGCGCACAAACACAACAAAACCCGTTGGTGTCATGTTGGTTTTGATCAAAACACGGGTATCGGGTATCGGAACGAATCACGGGCCACGCGTTCTAGTCAGGCATACGTACATAAAATCGGCAAGCCACAGCCAGTGTATCGGTGCACAGAGCCTTCGGTACAAGTACCACCACCCCAACTATACTTAACAAAGTGGGGTTCGTACCTGTAAATCTCCCCTGAGATCTCCCAAGATCACCGTCTGTCTTCACAGGAAGCCCACAATCGAGCGAAACACCTCCTCCGGCCCCAGCCCTATCACAGAGGCGACAACGCTCGCCCAGCCTCCCGCCCTACGCTCGACTCCACCTTCGCCGGCGCCGTTCATCCGAGAGCGCACCCCACCACCAGCGCTCTCCCCATTCTCCCTCCTCGCCCCCTTGCACTTTCCGACCTTCCTGTCACGAGCATCGTTTGAATCTTCATCCGCATCACCGGTTGCGTCGCTGTTAGCTCTCGCTGTCTTTGCGCAAGAGCGCAGCATCACGAGCCAACAACGGTGACGCCACGCTCGATTGGCCGGAGCCCGAGCCAGCAACAGCCGCACCCGCTCGAACTCGGCTTCGGAACATGTTGTTCCATCATTCTCATCGTCGTGCTCATCGAGCATATCGACCGGAGTCTGGCCAGCGTTATTTACTGCTGTTTCGTCCGCTCCCCATCGCAGCAACAGATCCACGGTCGCCTCCATACCTTTATCCCGCCAGTAGCACGCCCGGTGCAACGGCGTGTTTCCATCCGTGTCTTGCGCTGTCAAGGATGCGCCGTGCCGCAGGAGAGTGTGCACGGCTTTGAAACTGCAGTACTCCGTCGCAGAGAACAGGGGCGTCCACCGACGGCCCCGGCTGGCCTCGGTGTTGGCCCCTGCCTGGATCAACGCATCAATCGCACCGGGCTGATCTTTTTGAGCAGCAAGGTGAAGTGGAGTAAAACCAGCATCGTCACAAGCGTTCACGTCCGCCCCATGTCTCAGAAGTGCTCCAATGACGTCAATGTGGCCATTGCAAACGGCTTTGTCGAGCGCGGAGTAGCTGTCAACATCGCGGATGATGTCCACATCGGCGCCGGCAGCCAAAAGAGTGTTCACGACGGACAGATGGCCAGACCCGCATGCGTAGATGAGGGGCGTCGCGCCGCTAGTATCCTGAGCATCCGTGTATGCCCCTCTGAGCAAGAGGGCAGACACGATCCTATCAAGCCCTCTGATGGCAGCAAAGTTGAGGGGGGTGCTTCCATGTTCATCCCGCGAGTTCAGATCCGGTCCGACCAACAGAAGGTCGATCACTAGCTGTGTATTGTCCACCCCCGATTGCCTCGTGGAGGACAGTGTTCAAGCACATAGGGTCCCTGAAGTTCACGTCTGCTCCGGCAGCAATCAAACGCCTGGCTGCGTGTTCGTGGCCGCACACCGTCGCCGTGTATAGAGCCGACCTCTTGCTGGATATAGACACGGTGTTCACGTCCGGCTGAGCTCCTGCTCGCAGCAAGGCAGACACAACAGGCTCGCTTCCACCGAGAGCGGCTGCGTCGATAAGAGTACGGTCGAGACATCCCCGCCATCCCGCACTTCCGTCCGCACCGGCCTCAAGCAGTGAGTTGACGAGGTTCAGATTGCCTCGGGCGGCTGCATGCTCCAGCGGAACTCGAAGCCACTCCTTCCATTGTTGTGGTGTGGCGCCGTACGAGACCAGCTTCCATATCTCGCTTTCCATTCCTTGAAGCAACCGACGCTTGGGGTAGACGTACATGATCCGCCGCAGGTCGCAATCGATGTCGACTGATACGTTTTTTTCGTTGGCAATCTGCCTCCCTCTCTCCTCCCCCCCATCTCTTTTTTCGTCTAGTACTGTAGGCGTGGTCCACCTCGTCGCCCCGCTTCGTCTGTGTGCGTGTTCGCTTCGATACACAGCACACATCAGTTTGTCGGGGCTCCGCGATTTGCATGCGCTACACGACAGGAGGTGAAATGAGTTTGGTTCCAACTGGTTCCAACTGGTTCCAACTGGTTCCCAACCAGCATTCCATTTAAGCCGCAGGCCTGAAGTGCGGCAACCGCAGTTTGCCGCAACAAGACGCGGAAGGCGTGTTGCGGCAGCCAGCCCCCCGCAGGGGCCCCCCGGGAGGGCGCCCCCCGCACAGGGCCCCCCCGGGAGGGTCCTCCGGGAGGGCGCCCGCCGCGTAGGGGCCCCCGGAGGACCGCCGGAGGGCTGCCGGAAGCAATTTTTTTGGCGGTATTCGACGTAATAGTAGCACGCCCGATGCAACGGCGTGTTTCCGCCCGTGTCCTGCACCGTAAAGGACGCGCCGTGCGGCAGGATGAGAGTATGCATGGCTTTTGAGGCTGCAGTGGTTGATCGCAAAGAACAGGGGCGCCAATGAACCGCCCTCGCTGGAGCACTCGATGTTGGCCCCTGCCTGCATCAGCGCATCAATCGCTCCTGCCTGGTCCTCTTGAGCAGCAACGTGAAGTGGGGTGCAACCATCATCGTCACAAGCGTTCACATCCGCCCCATGTCTGAAAAGGGCTCCAATGACGTCAATGTGGCCATTACAAACGGCTTTGTTGAGCGCGGAGACGCCGCTATTAGTTTGAATGGTGACATCGGCGCCGGCAGCCAAAAGAGTGTTCACGATCGACAGGTGGCCAAGCCGGCATGCGCCCATTATGGCTCTTTGGCACCTTTTCATTTACAGATATTTGAAACATACCGGGGCATTCTTCCTCCGTTTCTGCTTTAAATTTGTGACCAACTCACCCAAGTGGACTCTGTGTGAACTTGTGAACTCTCATCAATAAACATTGTTATTTGGTCCGATTTCGTTAGTGGCATTGTCAGGTTCGTCGAAGACCCTGCTTTGTCAGATTTTAGATTATCAATCACAAAATTCAAAAGTTTGCGCCTAGAATCTGGACACTCCGACCCACGAGCATTGCACTTGTTTAGGGCATCCTTCAATTTTGTCTGATTTGAACATACATGGTAAACATAGGTCTATAATAAATTCCATATAATGAACTCTGCGAAGGTGTACCGATTCTGGTAACAGTCAATCGACGGATACCCTCTGCGAATCGGGTCCTCCTTAACACTCTCCACCACCCACAGAATTTACCCTCAACTGGGAACCTCTTGTGGCCAGGACGGGTGATTCGATGGAAGTGTCACAAGGTTCTTTATAGGATCGATTCCAAGAGGTGTTCTCAGGACTGACACACAATGCGTCCATGGGAACTGTCCAAGTCAGGAGAAAAAAACGTGCACCCAAGGAGATTTGAACCAGTGTCCAGCTGACGCCATATGCGAAGGTGTACCGATTCTGGTAAAAGTCAATCGACGGACACCCTGCGAATCGGGTCCTCCTTAACAACTCCACGAAATCGAGTACGGTTTCCACACCGTGTGGTTCATGCGTTCTTATGTCGATGAAGGGATAACGTGTCATAAACATGAAATCGGCATCCCCCACGACCGAAATTGTGGAGGCATGGATAGATGACTTGCATAGCGGACCAGGTTTTATAAAGACATGTCGTGACCATCAGCCGGTTGAGGACATTCAGTCGTGGGGTCATTTTGTACTGGGGGAACTTGGGAAACACTCTAGACATTGGTCCAAGAGAAGGGGCGTCTTCAAGCTCTTTCCTGAAATGATCAAGGACGAGCGATTTAATACTCATTTCCCCGATTCCCTGAATTTTTTCACCAATTCCTCATTCGAAATATTCGAAGGCATTGTCACAACGAGCCTAACTTTGACGATATAAAATAAATGTTGTATTGCTATAATTGTCGATCCGTGACCTTGCGCGATGTGAGACGCCTAAATACACGATGCGTACAACCACCCACAAAACAAATATCCCCCAGATTCAAAGAAGATATGAGACTCTCCATCGTGCTCGCCACAATCCTTGTGTCATCGGCCCTATCGTTTCTCCCCCAACTCTTCAGCATCGAAAATTTCATCAAGGCGCCCGGGTGTAACCTGGATCGCGTCTGCCAAAAACTCCCGACCGCCAACCACGATGTCGCAGCCCTGCATAGGTCGTGGCGTCTCCTGAAACCCGCCAATCCCGAGACCACAATCTATCAGACGATCAACCGCGAGCACGAGTACGCACTGACATCCAAGCTTTTTTCAAATGGCACTCGCATTCACGAAGTGATGCCCTTCGCCACATGCCGGCGCAACGAGACCATTTTCTTCAATCACGCCAAAATCTTCACAATCTTTGCAGACGACTCCGGATACATACACCAGCAACGCGACGTGCTCTTCTCAATCGTTCAAGCTGGTGTATGCGAGTACGTCGATCCGCGTCGACAAGATGGTGGCGACGGGTGCCTTTCGGGTGTAGTGCGTGCCGTGCGATGAAGTGATGCAATAACGAATAATTTTTGTGATGAGGGCACGCCACGACCGAGGCGGTCGATCGACGGCACGTCCTGCATCTATTCCGGACACATTTCATCGCGGCAGGGTTCCCGCAGACGCAGAGTCCCGGCAGCGCAGGATCCTCCGAAGTAATTGAACGAGAGGCGTCGTCCGCGGCTTGTGTCCAGGTCTTGCCTTCGAGATAGACCATTTTCCCGATTTCCCCCAGAAGTAGGTCGAATCGCCGAGGAACGTGGACGCCCGACATCAACCCGCCACAAAAGATGCGGATGGCCTGTTCCACCATCTGGAAATCCATGAGCCGAGCATTGCCGATGTACTTTCCGCTCAATGTCTGCAGGAATCTGTGTGGAGGTGCAAGTATTCCGAACCTGGCGAAGCAATCGTAGACATTGCCACTCCTCGTTCCATACACTGCTTCTCGGCAGAGCATGTCAAAAACTTGAGAGACGCCGTAGAAAATTCTCGTCGGAATGACGTGGCCGCTTTTGGAAATCAGGAACTCGTACAAGTCGTTCCATGAGGCACTGGTGCTCCTGCCGAACATCCGTTTCCTCTTGACCGGATGCGTCGATCGCATCTTCTCGAGCTTGGCCGTGGAAACTCGCATTGCGCATACATGTCGTCGCTCATGAAGCTTACGGGCAATCCATGGAGTTCCTGATCCATGAATGGCACCGCTTTCGACACGTGGATACGCTCCATCGGGGTCAGGAATTTCAGTACTCCATTGCCTTCGCTTAACACGACCTTGTCGAAGGAACGATTGGCATTTTGAAAAGATGTTTCGATCTCCTCGCCCGAGGAAGTGTAGAGTTCGTTGGCGCACCCGTAGCGGAACACGTTTACCTTGCGCGACAGCGACAAGTTGTTGAGCGACCGCCAGATAGCCACTCTCTTGGCGAGCTTCGCGACAGAAATCTTCGGGGTCTTGGTGGTGGACGTACAGAAGTCGCCGCTGACAAGCCCCGGAGTAGGAGCACTGGCGGTCTTTATCTTGAAGGTGGCGCATTTGACTCTCTTCTCCAGGCACTTGTCTCGATCATTTTGTTTCTTTCGTTTTGCTCGGGTTTCAATCTCCTCTTTGGACTTTCTCGCACATTCTCTCTGATCTCTGGCCGCTCTGGCGATACCAGCGACATATTTCACCTCGCCCTCAAGAAAGAGATACGTCGAAGCGGCGTTCCTGTAATACGGATTTGGTTCCCGGCGATGGTCGAGACGGTCGAGGTCCTCGACTCTCGCTCCGAGCAACATCGCTGACGTCTTTGTCAACAGCTCCGTGGAAACGAGGCACCCCTCGCACACGCGTGTCAGCACGATTCCGTTGATCGATTGGTGATCGCCGAATGGCTCCGCGCACTCGCCGCAAATCAGCATTGCCGTTATTATATTTGGCGTGGCGATATGCGTGAATCGGCAACATTATTTACGATGTAATGTGTTTCGAAAAGTTTGATTAATCAACAAATCATTTCACATTGAGACTACTCTGTGGATTCACCGAGAGCATGAACCCCGCGTTCTTCGCATCCACTATGAGCGGCACTATGTTGGCAAAAACGTTCAAGCTCAACATTTTCACAATTTCCGCCAATCTCTTGACTGACCCAGCGGCCACAGTGTTGCCATTTCCGGACACGAGAGAAACCATTAGCCTCAGGATACTCCACACGTATGTGAGGGAGCCCGTGGTAAAATGCGCCCCGTGGCGGAGCAGTCCTCGTGGTTTTGGCAAATGTCCTTCCCCGATCAAACCCTTTTCCGCCATGATGCTCACCAATGAACTACTGGACAACAAAAAAAACATTGTTTGAACCATTATGTATACTACAGAACGGTGCAGTGCGTCTTCTCCGCGCTTCCAAACCTTGAGTTTAGTCAAAACGTCAAACAGGAGCCAACCGGCGGCGGGGTACACCGCACAGCACCCCACTTCGGAGTATTTCATCTTGAGGAATACGATAAACACTAGGCTCACAATGTTCATTGCGATACCAATCTTTAGTTCGGGTTTACGACCAATCAACTTCTCCTTCTCTACATCACCTTCGTCATCGATTTCACAAGACCCTGGCGTAATCCTGTCCCCGTAGTCGCTGTACTTTCCGACGAGAGCAACGAAAAGCAAACTGATGACGGTGCTGTACACGATCGTCGGTGTACACCAAGACTTGTCCCGGTTCCCACTTTCAGAAAACAGCATTTCTAAGATGTCAACAAGGGTCATGATATCCAGGCTATGTGCCAGCAAACCAGTAACGAGGGAATTGTTCTTGCAACTCTGGAATGTTTGTGGCGACCAACAAAGATAAGCCATCATACAAACCCACGGCACCCCGGTTGCAGCCAGAGTGACCGATCCGCTCGAAACTCCATAGGCAGACACCGCTGCGAAGAGAGCAGCGAGCCCTCCAAACTCTAATCCTCCTTTTGTTTCGTCGAGTGTCGTAGATGTAAGCGTAGCTGTGAGGCAATTGTTTTCGTTGCTTATGCGGGAGTGATCGAAGAACGAGGACGAGTGATCAGCCACCAGCAGCAAAAGCATGATTAGCAGTTGTGTGGACGGCGTAATGAAACTCGACACAGCCCACTTTCTCTTCGATGAAATCCCGTACCCAATTATTGTCATGCCCAGCCACAAGATTCCCAGGGGAACATACCCAGCAATCGCTTTCGGAAACACCGGCCTGAAAGCTTTCCTGCACGGCTTGGCCGCGTTCGCAGCCTGTCTCTCGGCCAACGTTTCGCATGCCATTGACACAAACACACGCACACACGCATGCACTAAACCCACAAAAAAATCGCGAAAACTGCTTGACGGTATGCTTCTTGTACAGATCCATGAACGACGCAACAAAGACCTCCAGGTGCAAGATATCTTTCGACCCGACACACATCCTGTGCTCGTAGACCGCGGCCCACTTGACAATTTCGCGCTTGACACCATCCTCTCCGTCCAGGTTTTTATGGGAGATCAGGTGGTGCATTTAGCGTTTTTAGCACAAGAGACGCCGGTACTCCTGCTACCAAGAGCTCATTCAAGCTATCCCTGACATCAATCAGCTTTCGCGGACTCTGCTCCAGAAAAACACCTGTGCTAATGGATTCAATGTACTTGACCCACAGCATCTTGTCGGCGCTGCCCGCCTTGGCCATGAACATCGCTCGAGAAATGGACCTCCCGGAGCTTTCCACAATCTGCAAAACCAACGCCTTGTCGTCGATTCCAATCGCCGCCGCCAAATTCTCTGCGCTAGGAAGTGGCACTCGGATCAAGACACACCGCGAACGCAGAGGCTCGGCGACTCTCGAGGCAAAGGTCGACACCAACACCAATCGACACGAGGCAGTGAACTTCTCCATCGTCCTGCGCAGTCCCGCCTGCGCCTGCTTGCTTAAATCGCCGGCGCCGCGCAACACGATCGTCTTGTGCGTCGCGTCACAGTTTTTGGAGACGGCGGCGATGGACCCGTTGTTGGCCATCTCCTTGATGGCGTGCTGCACCACGTACGTGTCGTTGACGCCGGCGTCGCTCGGTTCCATCTCGATGTGGTAGTTGGATACGCGAACGTCGATCTCGATCGTATGCTTTGACGAGGCTGTCTCCACCACGCGTTTTTCGGCAGTCACCCTGTTTACGCCCGGACCATACAGTTTCTCTAAAAGGTGTCTAACTAGCGTCATCTTGTCCGATCCTCGTAGGCCGTGCAAGAGAAGGTGCGGGATGTCGCCGTGGCGCGACATGGATGTCAAGCGGTCCTCGACCTCGGGGTGCATGTTTTTTTTCAACGGATCAGACTGCTGTTTGCGCCGGCGAGCGTGTGTGTGTGGGTGTGCGTGTGTCTCGCGAAACAAAATCTACAATTGATTGTCGTGAAGCACGGGGCTGTCTTCATAGACGTCTTTGAACTCGTCGCACGGCGGATGAACGTGGAATTGGGAAATAGGGTGCCGATCGGCCACGAACAGGTCGTGGTACATTCGGGGACAGAGCAAGTAATTTATCCACAACGTCGATTTGGCATTTCATTCCCACCACCAGAGAGTAAAAAAGTCCGGAGGTTAGGTCTGCGCTTGCGCAGACCCGAGCCGACGGCGAGATGCGGCCCCCGGAGGGCGCCGCCCGCGTAGGGCGCTTTCCGGAGGGGCCCGCGGAGCGAAAAAAATGGCTTTTTCCTATAAAAATCAACCAAATACAGTCTAAAAGTGTCAATTATTTTGTTTTCTACGCGTTTCATTAGCAGGATAGACTATGCCTCTTTCCAGCAAAAAAGGCCCCCAAAAACATTTTTCGCCTCCGGCGAAAGAAAAGGGCCGCAATAACTTTTGAGCTGTGGAAACAATTGTCCAAGTACGGGATCAAGGGGAAAATATGGAGAATGCTGAAGAAGATGACAGAGTGTACGAAAAGGGTCATGCTAGACGGAGAACGGTTTAAATTCTTCGACATTGAGCAGGGGGTCCCACAAGGTTGCACGCTGTCCCCAACATTGTTCCAGGTGTTCATCAACGATCTGTTGGAAGTCGTAGAGGCAGTCCAGAAGGGAGTAAAAGTAGGGGACACGGAAACTTCGGCGTCAGGAATGCTGTTTGCGGATGATTTTGTTGGTTTTTTGGACACCCCTGAGGGACTGCAACTACAAACTGACGCGGCGAAGAAGTTTACTGATAAGTGGAGATAGTCTGCCAACGTTAAGAAGAGTGCCATCATGGTATGCAACGAGGTCAGGGAGGAACCAGTAGAACATAGATGGGAGTGGGGGATCGAGGAGATTGCAGTAGTGGACCAGTACACATACCTCGGAGTAGAGATCGCAAAAGACTGCTCGTGGAATGCACACATGTTCAAGGTAGCGGAAAAGGGCAAAGCACGAGCAGGGAAGCTGCACCCAATACTCGCAAACCGGCACCTCGATACACGCATCAAATTGACGGTTTTGAAGAGCGTAATCGTACCGCCGCTAGAGTACGCCGGAGAAGTATGGGAAGGAAATAAGAATGTAGTGAAAGAACTCGAGGCGGCGCAGATGAAAGCAGCGAAAATCATCCTAGGATGCTCCAAGCGCACAAGCAATGCAGCCGTCAGGGCAGAATTGGGGATCCAATCCCTACGGTCGGGAAGAGACGCAAGGAAGCTGACATGGCAGTATCGCATGTACGGGATGGGAGAGGAGAGGTTGCCGAGAATAGTATGGGAGGCGAGTGGGCAAACAAAAAGAGGGGTAGACAACCCACGGAACGAGTCAAGGTTGTAGAGGACGTGTGGAAGGGGTTAGACATCGACGAAGATGAAACGCTGGAAACGGAGAGTCTACAGGGGTTCAAGGAGAAGATATATGTTGCTTGTGCCGAGAGAGAGAAACATAATCTAAGGGAAAAAAACAAGGATAAGGAGGGTATAGAAGTGTACGGAATGTTGAAAGAAGGAGTAGGGTTCAAGGACTACCTACATGGACCAATGGATGCAGGGACCAAGATGAAGGTCAAATTCAGGACCGGGGACATTGGCCTTCGAGAACGTCGACGAAGACATAGGACGGTAGACGACGAAGACGACAAGTGCAAATGTGACCGTGGCTTCGAATGCGAAGACCGTGTTCGTGTAGTCGCGGAATGTCCGTGGTACGAAGAGGAGAGGGAAGTGTACATGACTGAGCTGGGAAAAATGCAAGGGACGTACAGGGAGATGTTTGAGGCATGGAACAGAGAGGAGAGGACGGTAGCTGTACTGGGGAGTAGGAAGTGGTTTGAAAAGGCGGGAAGGGATACCGTTAGGATAGACAGACTAGGGTCGGCATTTTTGAGCCACCTTTGGCAAAGTAGGAAGGAACGATTGGCCATCGGTGATCGGTCCTGTGGGAACAATGCTCCGTCCTCTCGAGGACGCGTGGTCAACGGTCTAACCGCTAAGGAATGCAAAACATAAGAGTACGCCCCCTCCCCCCCCCCCC